ATCTTCTTGATCAACATCAAAGTAATGAAGAAGTTTTAATATATTGGTGTAGTTTTATAAAAACATTTATTAAATAAACATAAAATAGTTTAAAAAACATGTTCATGTTATTATCACTTCAAATAAAGGTCTTTGTTTTGTTCATTAAAGATTGATCTATTCAAATTTCTTAATGAGAATATATTTGATTAAAAGATTTTCATGAAAAATCTGATTTAATCATCTATTTTCTTTTAGATTTGATTATACATTTGATGAAAAAATCTCCAGTGAAATCGATTTATGCTTCTTATATTGTCGATTCATTGATTGATACAAAGTTCAACGATAGTGATGTCATTGTTTTTTGTCTAGAGTTGACATAAAATCTAGTTTGTTAAGACGTTTTTTTTTCATTTTTATTCTTTTCTTTCTTCACATATTGGATGAAACATCTACGATAGATGAGAATTAATCATTTGCAGAAACAGATTATTCATATAAATTCTATGTTCAAATAGTTTGTAATATATTCTTTCGTTTATTATTATTCTAATATTCATTAATTGAAATCGTTATTACATTTTCGAAAATATTTTCTTGCTAGTTTTTCGTTTAGTTAATATTATAAAAACGTCTTGTTTAATCATATAATGACAATAAACAACCAATGATACTTGTTCAAAACATTTGGAAGATAGAATTTTTTCAATATTTTTTGCAATTTTTATTTATAAATTTTTCATTCATTTAGTTTCTTTTTGAATTAGAAGATTTTAAAAATTAAAATAAAATGAAGAAAAATTTGCAGTCTTTTGGACATTATTGTTAGATCTTGTACTGATTGTAACATTGAGACAATGAATTTCTTCTCAATCTCAGCGACATTCTCAGTAACATTACTTTTATTTATTAACTATTTATTTAAAATACAGAAATCTTCTATTTTATTTCAAATAAATCTAAGAAAATTCTGTTAAATGAACACGTCATCTATCATTCATTGATTTTTATTGATGAATTCAATCGATCAATCTCTATATATCTTTTATCAATAAATGATATAGATAATCCATTGTTCTATTTATTTCCTTCAGATTGATATCGGAATCGGAAATATTCTTTTCCTTAGAATGTTCTCGAACATTTTAAAAATTTGTAATTGAGAATAAATTAATCTCATTTGAAAATATCTTGTCAATTCTATTTTCATTAAATATCCCAAATAAATTTTTCAATCGAAGAAATTGAATTCTTTTTTTATCTGTAAGTATTTAAAAAAATCATTTCTGATAAGTAAATTGATTCTTTCTTGTTGTTGTTGTTGTTTTCTTCTAATCATTTAAATAATTGAATAAGATTTATTAAAATTCTATTTATTATAAATGATAGAGATAATTGATTAATATATTTTTCATTCAGAGATTTTTATGAAACTTCTCATCAATCTATAGATTTTTCATATAATTATTTCATTGAGAATGTTTTCAAATTAATTATATCTTTTATAAATAAAATATATTTAAATAAAAACTATTTCATTTATTTATTAGAAAAGAAAGATAAAGATTATTTTAGTCTGAACTTTATTGACATCATACAGATTTACATAAGAAAAAATCAATAAATATTGTGATCTTTCATCTTTCTATAAAGAAAAATTCTTTTTCTTATTCCATTGATCAGATCTCAATTGAAAGAGATGGCTTTTGTTGAAAACTAATTACAGTTTTATTTCTCGAATGTTTATCGATAAGCAATCAGAGAGGAAAACTAATTAATCCTTTGAGGACTGAATTTTTTTATTGAGAAAAAAAACATTCAACTTTTTTATTTTATTTTAATTTAGAATGGCTACATAAAAGTCTTATGATAATCAAAAAAGTACAATTTTTTTTTATTTTGAAGTTTTTTTGAGTAAAAAAAAGGGTCTAAGGACTGAAAAAGGAGTTTGCTCTTTGACAAAAATTAAGGTAAAGCTGTCATCCGTGATATAGCTTTCATTTATTGAATTCAGCATCTCTATATAAAATGGGAATCAAAAGTTTAAGGCACTTTTTGTTTTTTAATTTTCTCTAGCAAAGAACGCTCTTTGAAAATATTCCAATAGTGATTTCGATAGCTCTCGACACGAACTACAAGACTGGCGTACTTAGAAGTCTAAAGTAAAAGTTTTTGAATTTTTTTTCTAATAAAACTTTTTTTCCGTGTGATCAAAAGTTTAAGGCACTTTTGCATATGTTCACTTTATTTCAAAAAAGAGCTAGGAAATCATAACTATTTTCGCAAAAAGTGTCCTCCTTTACCTTTTAAGCATTTTGTTATCCGTTCCAGCATTGAATCAATCAATTTAATGCATAAATCTTGATCAACATTGTTCCACTCTTCCTGGAGCCGATAGATTAGGGTCGACTTCGAATACATTGGTTTGAAGCTAGTTTTTTATCCAATATAGACCATAGCATCTCGATTGGATTGAGATCTGGACTTTTCGAGGACCAATCAAGAACATTCAGCTTCATTTTAGCGATCTTGTCCTTGATCATGTTCGAAGTATGCCAGGGTGCTAAGTCCTGTTGAAAGATCATTTTGGTTTTGTTAGGAATCTTTGCCATGGATTGCTTCAATTCGTTCTGTAAAACGTTACAATACATATTACTATCCATATTTTCGCTATAAGTCTTAGCAGACGGTAGAACAAAACCAGATATTCCACCCCATATTCCGATCTTACCACCGTCACCTGTACTGGGTTGCTCCAAATATTCTGGTAGAAGTTTTTCCTTTTCTAAACGCCATATTTTGCATAGATTTTTTCTTTTTAAAACATAAAATGTCGATTCATCGATAAATATAACTTTTCGCCAATCATCGCAAGTCCAGCTTGAATACTTTGTGCACCAGGCAACACGCTGCTCTCGATATTTGGGGTTTAACCACTGTTTCTTTAATTTTACGACGTATTCGAAGCCAAGTTCTTGTAGATATCGACGTAATGTTACTGTAGATACTGGTGTAGACAGGCTACTGTTCAAATCTGACGTAATTTTGCTTGCACTGATACGAGCATCTCCTTTGACCAATCGTTTCAAGTGACGTAAACCACGAGCGGATATTTTATTTGGATGTCCTGAACGCTTTAAATCTTCATATATACCGAGTGCCTTAAATTTCTTTAGTGCATTTTGCACACAGTATCGAGAAACCTTAAGCTGCGTTGAGATTTGGACTTGATTGAGACCAGCCTGGTGCAAAGGCACTGCCTGAGCTCGAATAAAGGGATCACTCGGGTTTTTACCCATAACTGATGCTAATACTAGTAAGCAATCTAATATATATCTAAATCCAAAATAAAAAGTATCCTTTGGGATTTGTTTGTCCGATAAAGTGAACATATGCAAAAGTGCCTTAAACTTTTGATCATAGGGAAAAAAAGTTTCATTTAAGAAAAAATTCAAAAACTTTTACTTCAGACTTCTAAGTACGCCAGTCTTGTAGTTCGCGTCGAGAGCTATCGAAATCACTATTGGAATATTTTCAAAGAGCGTTCTTTGCTAGAGAAAATAAAAAAACAAAAAGTGCCTTAAACTTTTGATTCCCACTTTATATATACCCACATCTTCATTAGAAAATTTAACGTTGTCTAAGTTATTGGCTAGTTGATCGTGATCAAAATCGAAGTGACTTTTTCTTCAATAATCACTGATATATGAATCACAGGACTCGACATCTACTTGATTATTTCCATATAATTCCATTTGTATCATTTTAATTATAACAGTATATAAAGAACTGAGGAGTACAAGTACAAAAGAGAAATGAAATGCATTGTGAATTCAAGAACAACATAAAATTGTCAATGAGAACAAGACTATATGTAGATAAACTCGACGAAGAATATGAATATTCTTTAAAAATAAAGAAGAGAAGAGAAAAATCAAGATATCACTATATCCTAGCAGCAAGAACAAAGAATATTTGAAAAGTATTTATATTAGACAAGGAAGAAAGAAAAGACAAGTATAAGATGACAAATATGGTTGTTTAATGCTTTAATGACCTTGCAGATTTAATTATTTAATGTTGACTAAAGACTTCTTTTCCACAGAAAATACGTGGGACAACATATGTCCCACAGTCCTCAAAGGATTAATCATATGCTCATTGTGAGTATTTTATTTTCATGAAAAATGTTCAAATAATATGTGATGATAAATAGTTTTCTTTATAATTTGATTAATTGGATATCTTTCGATGTATATTAATGACAGATTAAAATATATTATTTTCAACTATAATTCTACTGTTTGATGATCGATTGAAAATAACTTAACTTGTCTTGATAATAAATAGAAGAAACATTGGTCTATCTTTTCAATTTCTATCATTTGTTTCATTTATTCATATTAATTAGAAAGAAAACAAGACAGGACATCATTATTTCTGAGTATAGGTGAAATATATTCTAATTGTATTCTATTGATGCTCGAATGAAAATCTTCTCTTATATTCTCGAATCTTTGAGATTTGCCTTTTTCATTTGTGTCAATCATTAATGCTTAGTTTTTTTTAATGACATTTTCTTTTTGGATAATATAAATTTTCGTTAGATTTATAATGGTAATTGTTCATTTTGTATAGTGTCTTTATCCTCATTGTCAACATTGTATAATATGATGATTTTATTGATTCAATATATTATTTTGATTTTCATCCAGTTTATGATGAGAATCTTACTAAATGAATGAATTTCTACGAAAAATACGTCTTATTTCAGGAAATAGAATCTTTTAGAATTATCTCGGATCAACAGACTCTTGGAACCATAGAATTAGTTGTTTTCTTTTTGGGAATTCCTTTTAATAAAAATATTTAATATTATGACAATAGTTCTTTCTATTGTATTGATTTTGTTTTATGATGATGAATTCATATTTTCAATGATTTATTTTAGGTTTATAATCTCGTATCATCATAATTTATTGTATTTTATATAAACTTGTGTCTAATAATATAGAAAAATGCCATCGTATTTTCGTATCTATGGTGCCAGTCGAATACGTATTCGTATCCATGTTTATGTATTATTTTTTTTCATTTGTGTACAATATCGTTATACATTTACTCTTGGTGAAATTCAGAAATCAGTTTTTATGTTTCGAGAGCCAAATGTTACAAATGTTAAATTGAATATGTATAACAATATTCCATATGAAGGTTGTCGATGTAATGTTGTACCTGTCGAATCTTGTCTTACTGATGAAGAACTTAAATACACTCGTATCATTCCATTGATATTATTTCTATTACAAATTTATCTTCTTAAAGATATTCTTTCGTTACATCATGAACGAAAATACTTTCTTTTAAATTTATATTGGATTGCTTCAATGTTTGCTTTCTTTTGTTTTTTAATAATTATTTATCGAAGTAGTTATTTTTATGTTACAATTACTCGAATACTTGTTTGTACAGGTCTATACTTATTCTTGAATGGTTATATATCACAGGTTATTCCGTAATCAATCATATTATAGTTATACTATTATTAGAGATTTGAAAGAAACGATAATAATAATGAAATTTGAAGAGAAATCTTTTCAGCTAATATAGATTATTCTATCAAAAATCGATCAATGTAATATACTCATTTATTTGTATCTGTTAATTAATGTATATTTATATATATTGTGTTTTTTTTAATGTTAATAAATTGAATACACTCTCATTATGTCTTCTTCATTTACTATTGTTGTAATCATAAGAAAATGACACTTCGTTCTTAAATCAATTATTTCTTATAGTGTTGCCAAAGTTTGAAAGAGCTATCCATAAGTTAGAAAAGATTATTTAACTCATTAAGTTCCGGCTTGTTTTGCGAAAATTCAAATTTTCATAAGAAATGTTTAAATATGGCTTTTAGGTTTTGACAGAATTTCCAATCTATCAAAGAAACATCTCTAGTTCGCTACTCTATGATAGTCTCAAAAATAATCCTTAACATCGATCGTCATAAATCTATGTATTGATTATATCACTTTATTTTCACGTATGGATACACCTAAGCATGTTGAGTTGGGAGAAACTATATAAGGTGAAAAAAAGAAGAAACTCTCCCATTTTGAAAAATCCTGATATGATAATAAGCTAAGAGAGAACAATCCTACTGGAGAAAATCAACATGGGAGAAATATACCGCGACAAAGTTGCAATTTGGAATATAAAGCGACATAAAGAAAGAAAAAACCTGTGAACATATATCATCCATATGTAGAACAACGAAAAACGATGCATGAAGAGTATAGCCACTATAGATTCCTAGCATGATGTCCCTGCCCTAGTCCATGGTTTATTAGCTAAAATGCGTTTCCAATTAACCAAAGAATATGCTACTAACATCTCGGTTCAATAACTGCATTTCAACATGTTCTTACGTCCGTCACATATGTCCTAAGCCAAGTTTCAGGACGTATATATACATCGCCAGGACTCAAAAGGTTAATATGACAGACACATACGTCTGAGAAAAAGAGTATCTTTAATTATACAATACATTTTAGAGTTTACATGAGCTGCAAGTCCATGAAAATCTGAATCTCATTGTAATATGAGGATATCAAAAGAGCTTATTGTAAGGAAACGGTGAATGGGGTAGGACTAGGCGAGATAGTTATAGTGAGG